ATATTAAAGTATCCTAAAATATGTAATGTTAAAATATATATATATATATATATATATATATATGTGTGTGTGTGTGTGTGTAAATATGTAATAAATATGTAATGTGTTAAAATATATATATATATATATATATATATATGTGTGTGTGTGTGTGTGTAAATATGTAATATTAAGAGATGTTTTTTGAGCATCAAATCAGCATATTCGAATGATTTCTGAAGCATGACACTGAAGACTGCAGTAATGGCTGTTAAAAAATAAGCTTAAAACAAATAACAGTTATTTTAAATTTATGATAATAGTTCACAATATTGCAGGTTTTACTGTATGTTTGACCAAACAAATGCAGACATATATGCACGCAAAAAAATAAAATAAAAAATCTTACCGACCCCAAACTTTTGAACGGTAGCTTGATTATAATTTTTACCTGCGTTTAAGAGAATTTCCCCTATGACTAAATAAAAGAGTAGCTTAAAATGATGCTATTTCAGAAGCACACATATCATTAAAAACCATAGTAAATGCATTAGAATGTCTAAAAGTTTTTATCAACATGAATCGTAGGGTTTTGTATTTCACCTTTAAGGTTTTTATGGATCCAAGAAAGTAGCACTGGCATGGAAACCGAAATTTCCAGTTTCATATATATTTAACCGCACAGTGTCAAGGTTGACCAATCAGAATCAAGTATTCCATTAATGTGTAGTAAAACACTTTTAATAGTATTATTTTTATAGCCTAAGTAACAGCTCCTATGTTATAAATTATTATATATGACCAACACGGAAGTTTCTGCATGTATTTGCATTTCTCTCTCATTGATTTGTACTGGTTTTGGAGCCAGCTCTGCACTGAGAGAACTGCACAAAGCAAACAGATCAATGTCAGGAGACCAGACTCTCCTCTGTGCTGTCAGCTGTCTGGCTCAGCCCACATGCCCCAGTAGAGTAGATGTACACCCCTAGTGTTTGACACTCTCTGTGCAGCTCTATTAATAAAACATCAAAGCCTCCAGTGTGCAATAGCTGAATTGCTGTCCTTCAAAATGGACATCCGAAAAGTTCACTCCGCTTTTATTGCGTATTATATTGTGTGATGGGACCGGAAATGACCTCTTTGTCTGAGAGCTGTACGCTATTTAGTATTGCCTCGCTCAAAGACTCAAAATAACAGCCATTCTTTTGCTCTTACCTGAGGTTTGTGTCCCATTTTGCAAGATGGTCAAGAGAGTATTTATACCTCACCCTTTGAGTGGCATAGATAAAATAGGCCATTTACACTGCATCACTGCCTCACCGGGCAGCCGCTTTCGTTTTTCACTTTTAGGAACAGATTTTTCTGCTCTGTCTCTCAAATATGAGCTAATTGTGTTGATTGGAATATAATCGAGCATGATATTACAAATCAGTCAGAATATCCCACCGCTGGATAGCCATGACTTTTCTATTCGTGAAATAATCAGTCTGGGAATCTGATGTTGCAATAAATATGTTGCCTTTTCACTTATTTTCAGGTGAGGAAGAGCATATATGAAGAATGCTCAGTTTGCTTTATTAATAAGCTAAAGTTACATCATCAATTCTTTATATTCAATTCACTTCAATTTGGAAGTTTGTGTAGGGACAAATTAATAATTTTTGTTGACAACTGAAGCAAGGTTTGTAGTTTTCTTTTATTATTATTGTTAGTAGTAGTAGTAGTAAGCTGAAGAGAGGAGGTTCTATTTAATGTGTTAAAATGTGCCATAGTAAAAAAAAAAGTAATATATTTAAAATACATTTATTTAATACCAAGTACAGTTCAGATCTGCATATTTACTGACATATCGCTCGAGACGTACAGATATGAAAATTATAATTAAACTTTATTTGGAGTACTACTTGTGCACATTGCACATTTCTTAATATTAAGCATAAAATGTGTTTTAATGTACAACTGTCGATGTATGATAATGTAGGATTGTATGATCATTGAATAATATCAGTCTTTAAATGAAAGATATTTAAAGAAACATTTTCAAGAAAAGATTCAAATGAATGAATCTAAAAATGTCATGTGGTATATGTCATTGTATCCTATGCTCTTTGAATAATATCGGTCTTTAAATGCAAGATATTTAAAGTGTACCTGAAGCATACTTGCAATAGTTCCACTTTAGCACAATCAAATATACTTCAGTATATCTTTAGTTGGACTTCAGCAACACTTCCACACTTAAAGTGCATTAAGTACAAAATTAGTTGGTATACCAGTTTAGTATACTAAAAGTACAACTGCATGGTATTTTTATTAAGTACATAAATATGTAAATGTATTTGTAGTATACTTAGCATGAAATAAATGTATTTCAAATACATTTACTACATTTATTTTTCACTGGGGATTGCCAAAAGAAATTCATTCAGGGTTTACTTGATTCAGTTAGGTTTCCACTATTATAACTTAAATATAAGAACCTCAATTCTCATTAATTTGGTTAAAAATATACATATTTGTTTGAGTGGAATTGTGCAAACCTTAATTTAATGGACATTAACATTTACATTAATTTCATTGATATTTTTTAGCGATATGATCATCTTCCCCTCAAATCTCATGTTCTGTCACATGCGTATGTTCAAAAGATGTTGTTCTTTTTTTATTAAGAAATGAATGTTTATTCAGCAAGAATGCATTAAATTGATCAAAAGTGACAGTAAAGACTTTTTTAAATTGTTAAAAAAAATCAATTTCAAATAAATGTTGTTCTTTTGAAATTTCTACTCAAACATTATTCTAAATTGTAATAATATTTCACAATATTACTGTATTTTCAATTTAAAAAATGCAGCCTTGCTGTTGTTTAATATATGTGATCACAGGTGTGTGTATGTCTGTTATTTCACAGTGAGCTATCTATTTTATATAGGAGTTTACAAGTTTATCTTTCCCCATCTTGACAGTTATCTATGAAACACACAACCCGAGTACATTCTTTAGATTGACTGTGCTTAAAACATACATGAATCAAACTCTTTTGCAGAGGGTAATGACTTCACAGTGGGCTGCGTTCAGCCGTCAGTACGCCAAAGCAATGCTGAACTCCTCAGTGAGTGTAACTACCGTAATTTGACTTGCGAGATGAAAAACAACCTCTGTTGCTCTGTATATTGCGCCGCAGCGAATTTCTGTCATGTTTTCTCTCACTCAAAAAGCGTGCAGACAAAAGAGGGAGAGATGTACGCTATGTACCAGGCGAGAGGGTTAGGATGTCGGCTTCCCCAGCCACCTGTCCTGTTCCTCTACCATCTCTCCCTCCAGTCTGATCCTCCGTGAAAAGGATTCACTCAGTCCATCATCTGGTCCCCGGTGTGCATTAGAAGATTGGAGCCGCTGGAGTGGCCTTCATGCATTTAGAGAGGATTTGCTTTACTTAGAAAGCGCTAAAGGTGGTTGACGGATGTGCGTTTGTTGTCTTACTATATCAGTTTGTGTACTTTGTGTTTATTATCATAGAGTGAGAGCAAATGTGTGTGTATTTATGGATGCTATCTCAAACGTTGAAGGAAATTGCATTCTTCTCCTCCACTAATGCATGACATCTGTTGCGATGGGTCAATCCTGACAGGATAGAGCACCTCTCACCTCCCTTCCCTCGGCCCCAGCCATGCTCAAAACTACAGGAATGGAGGGAAAGAGAGAATAGAGAGAGCTGAGAAGAGATGTTGAAGGGCCGGGTAGATGGGCACTCTCAAACAAAGCCATGAGATTTGAACGAACAGCCACTGTTGGGTAATATGTGCTTTTACACTTCATTTTCTTAGACCTCACTTGAGACTTTTGACAATGTCATGTTAGAAAGAAGCTAATCACAGTCTTTGCTCGGTCTCCCTTCACCATCCTGCTTTTAAAAGGAAACAGAAAGCCACTTTTATGTGATCTTGTTTTTTTCTGCGAGAGCTCAAAAGCCAGATGTGTGCATCTAATGGAATGTCTTCTCAGTAATCCAGGTCACTCTTCTCTGGTCCTTAAAAGTGCAATGTTTACTTACAGACAATAGACTCTGTATGCCAGCTTCCTCTTCTCAGCTTTCCTCTTCTGCTCTTTCAAGAAAGCTCTGAATTACAATTTCACAGAAAAGGCTTTCTAGTGTAGTTCAGAGACTAGAGCATCATTTCTTTCTGAAGTAATGTTTTTTTAATATTAATATTTGTCATGTGTAAGTTGCATACAGATAATCAAAGGTCATGTACACATTACAGCTGCACAACAGATGTTATTATCATTAAATTGAGATTTAACAACGCTTAGTATTTTACAAAAAAAATTATATATAAATATATATATATATATAGCATTCAAATGTTCGGGGTCAGTAAGTTTTTTATATAATTAGCAATCAGCAAGAATGCATTATCAGTAAAGGCATTATATTGTTAAGAAAAAGATTTCTATTTAAAATAAACGCTAAAATAATTGTTTGTTTGTTTGTTTGTTTATTTTCTTTCAAAGAAACCTGAAACAGTGTATCAAGTTCTCCACAAAAATATTAAGCAGCACAGCTGTTTTCAACACTGATAATAATGAGAAATTATTTCTGAAGGATCGGTCAAATACAAAGTAGTTATTTGAAATTGAAATAATATTTCACACGATTACTATATTTACTGTATTTTGATAAATGCAGCGTTTGAGCATAAGAGGCTTCTTTAAAAATATACTAAATACAATAAATTACGAAATACATTTTATAAAGGTTATAAAGTAATTATACCACAAATTACATAAACCAAATGAAATTATATTATATAATATATAATAATATTTCACACTATTACTCTTTACTGTACTTTGATAAATGCAGCGTTTCTGAGCATAAGATACTTTTTTTTTTTAAATTGTGAAATGTGTATATCCCTGCAAATGTCATTTGAAATGAGAATCTATTGGTGGGCTGGATTACTTCGGATGCTCTGTGCCGTGCGTCTTACAGCCTGTCATAATTTCTTTGCTCCAAGGTGGCCGTGACATTTGTTGTGGGTTCAGAGGTTCACCACGAGACCACGAATGACTTCACCCAAATCGGGAAGCCTTTTCTAATGGGAACAGTTGCTCTTGGTAAGACAACCCTTTTTTGGGGGGGGGCGGTTTTGGTCGAAAAAGTATTTGGACACTCACGGCAAAAATACAATTTCATTACATCAGAAACACAACAATCAATTGTATTAATTGAATATACAATCAAATAAACATTCATTCTTTTCATAAGTTTGCAACTGCTATTTTAGTATTGTTGATTATCATTTTTAGTATATTTAATTATATTTTATTTTTATATTTTCTGTTTTCACTTTAATTTTAGTTAAAGTTTTAGTGTGTTTTTGTTATTTTTATGTTTTTATGTCTATATAGTTTTTTTTATTTATTTATTAGTTTTAGTTTTGTGTTACTTTAATGCTTCAAGTTAAACTGAAAAACTGAAAAATGTTATCTTGGCAACTTGCTGAAATAAAAGTCAAAATAATGTTTTTTAAAATATTTTATTTCATATACATTTTTAACAAAGTAACAAAAAAATTATGGTTTTAGTTTTAGTTATTTTAGAACTTCAAGTTAAATTAAACAAAAATTAGAAATGTTGCTTTGACAACTAGTTGAAATAAAGTTTTTAAAAATAAGTTTAAAAAACCTTTAACTGCTGTAAATTATAGTTTTAGTTAATGATAATAACCCTGAATTGCAGCAAATGACAACAATTCTGTGAATTACTGATATACAGAAACCTACATCTTTTCTTGTTCAAGAAGCCATGAAGTCACTTCATTTTGACTTATATTGTACATTGCGCATGTACATTGTTTTTGCATTTTTAAACCAAGCAAACTTAATTTAGTGAACAGTCAGCTTAAAAAATATGTTAGTGCGTTAAAGGGTTACTCCACCCCAAAATGAAAATTTTGTCATTAATTACTCACCCTCATGTCGTTCCAAACCCGTAAGACCTCCGTTCATCTTCGGAACACAAATTAAGATATTTTTGATGCATTCTGAGAGCTCTCTGACCCTCCCATAGACAGCAATGTAAGTAACACGATCAACGTCCAGAAACGTAGCAAGGAGATCGGTAAAATAATCCATGTGACATCAGGGGTTCAACCGTAATTTTACGAAGCTACGAGAATACTTTTTGTACCCAAAGAAAACAAAAATAATGACTTTATTCAACAATTTGTCTCCTCTGTGTCACCGTAGCGCCATTTTGGAGAATATCCACTGAACGCAAACAGCGTATGCTGTTCTGTCTCAGCCGCACTACACGTGATGCGGAGGAGACGAATTGTTGAATAAAGTCATTATTTTAGTTTTCTTTGCGTACAAAAAGTATTGTGTATCTGGACGTTGATCGTGTTACTTACATTGCTGTCTATGGGAGGGTCAGAGAGCTCTCAGAATGCATCAAAAATATCTTAATTTGTGTTCCGAAGATGAACAGCGGTCTTACGGGTTTGGAACGACATGATGGTGAGTAATTAATGACAAAATTTTTATTTTGGGATGGAGTAACCCTTTAAAATAAATGGCATTTGTTTTTGTTTGTTTGTTTTTTTGATGTAACGGAATGATTTTCTTACATGTTCTTGCATACTCTTACAAGTCTAACTTAAGTGTCCAAATGCTTTCTGACGCCTGTGCATTGCAGAAAGAATATGTGTGTTGTTTCTCTGTTTGTGTAACGTGGGCAGTGGCGTGTCAGTGCGTTTGGGTTTAGTGAAATGAAGTGAAGTGAAGAGATCTGGAAACTACAGAGACACCAGTGTTCATCGCAGCTGGTGTGCTGAGCAGATAATGAAAGTACCTCTCGAACCTTATCACTGTGACAATGTAGATGTTAGCCAGGAGTCCAGGGAATTCTCTCTCTGTCCCTTTTTCTAATCCTGTTAATTGACTGCCACACTCAGAGCTGTAAGGTCCTGAGGCAGCCAAACATCGCTGGCCCGCAGGAGGCTTCTGTCAACAGAACAAACAAAATCCGCCCGCGAGAGTCTCACACATTGCCTTGCTCTCATTTACAGCCAAAGCCACTGTGACACCTTTGAATAGACAGCTGTTTGCTCGACGGCTTTTTTAAAGGGCCCAGCATACGCCCCTGTGGAACCTCCAGGCACCTAATGGGCGTCTGCTTTTAAGGAGTCACAAGGCCAGGCTTTGTTTACAGTGACAGCAGAGGGAGTCTATCTGTCTCCGGTCCAGCTGACAAGAGGGGAATGAGCTGGCCCGGTGTCAAAACGAGTGTATTTTATAACAAAAAAAACACCAAAGTGCTTATAATGCACATGTCAGCATACTGCATGGCAGTCACAAGGTTGTTAGTAACTGCTTGGTTAATGCAGATGCTGTAGAATAGGTACAAAAAGTGGAGCAGTCTCACAAGGGCCCACCGTTTGGTTTATTTGTCTGAAATCCGGCTCTGGGCTCTTGGGAGCATCTGCAATTACAAGGGCTCTTACCTTTCGCTGTGCGCCATCTGTTGTAATGTACTGGGTTTAGTCCCCTGCTCCTCGTTCGTATTTATCTTACTGATGATTTTCATTTGGTGCAAGAGAAAACACAGTTGTGACTGTCAGCACTTTTAAGAGAACATTTATAGAGCTGCTCTCAATTCCCTGGTTTTTTATTAACAATTGCTAAAACTGAGAGTAAACTTGTAAAATGGATTCTGACTAATTCTGATTGGATGAGCCTCATTCGAAGCAGTTTTAAAATGGCAGTAAACTGACAACTGTGACCACATGTTTTATATTAATGCAGAAAGTTGCTGTATGGCAGCTGTAAACAGCCTATAGTTAGTCTAATGAACATTGTGAGTTGACAGGAGACTTTCTTTTTTTAATACGCTTAAAATCTACTTGAGATACTGTATGTTAACGCTTTGAAGCCATTAAAAATAATTTGATAAATCACTGTAAACATGTTTTGTCAGATAACCAAAATGTTTCATGCTGTGATATCAAAATTAACTTTTTTTAACATGTATTTATTCAAATTACTCTTTAATATGTCTGAATCAACTTGAATAGGTTGAGTAACACCATCAAAGATCAGTTTTAAGGGAAAGATCAAGTAGAAGCCATTGATTAAGCTTGGCAGTATTATCTTGACTAATATTTGTTTCTTCCAATCAGGTGGGATTGTCAACGTCATGCCTTTTTTATTTTCAGAAATCTCCCATGTTAAAACACAGGTAATATTATTATAATTAATATCATAATCAAAACTATTTTCTTGTGCAATAAACTGTCATGAGAATTCTATGTTGCAATAAAATTGTTTTGGACAGGTTTTATGGTTCAGAAGAGCTGTACTTGGAGGACTTGCTACATGCACACTCTTAAATATATTATGGTAAGTTTTAATTTTTTGATTATGATTTTGGTGAATATGAAATTTTGATTTTGGAAAATATGAGCATTTTTAATAATATAAGCCGTATAAAGAAGTGATTAACCCAAAATGAAAATTCTTTCACCATTTGTTCACCCTCATGTCATTACACACATTTATGACTTAATTTCTCTACACAAAGGGAATGCTGACATTTGTTCCATTTGATGAAAGTCATAAAAATTAAAATTCTTTATTGGCATCTGGTTCCATTAAGAACCTTTAACATTCATGGAACCTTTTCATTCTACAAATGGATCTTAAAAGTGAAAAAAAAAAAAAAAAGTTATTTGGATTTTTCTAATTTTCTTTACACTAAGAAACTGTTCATCGAAAGGTTCTTTGGGGAACCAAAAATGGTTCTTCATCACTGTGAAACCCCACTTTTTGCATGTAAATACAAAAAAAAAAAGCATTTGTGGACTATATTCAAATTCTTCTGAAGTCATACGATAATTTTGCGTGAGGAACTGACTAAGGAACATTAACTACAGTAGATAGAGTCAGCTAGGTTATCATTTGTTACTTGGGTGACGTGTCCTTCAGTTTAATTTAAATGTAGAACTAGTGCCAAGTTCAAAGTTAACAATGCAAAGCCCTCCCTGTTCATTTGTCACAGCAAAAGCACTTACTGTTTTTAAAATGACCCAGAAAGAGCTGAGCCGAACGACTTCCATCTGACGTACATGAAGACCTGAGATAGACGGAGACGTCTGTGGTCCATCTCCCTCCTGAGCTGCCCGATTGTCGTCCGTCCCTGATGTCTCTCTGATTTTAGCACACCCTGAAAAAATCTCCAACACACTGACGTTTCATCTAATCATCTGTAAAGGAGTTATTGAGTTACCAATCAGCACTATGTTACTCAGGAGACCCAAAGCAATTATGTTGGAGCAGATGAGATGAAAGGAGTCAGCTACAGGAGATGAGATCTCATGTCGGCCTCTTCGGAGACCCAGAATGCACTGCTGCAGCCCTGCCACTATGGTAGAACTCTGTCTTTCCCTCAAATCACTGCGGGTTACCCTGCTCCGCTGATGGCAGACAGTGTTTGACAATGGACATGCATCAGCTTTCCAAAGACTGTTGTTGATACATTATCACACAACAGAGACAGGATAGTCCACTTAGTCCGCTTAATAAAGAATCACTGATAACTTAGCTCTTGTTAACATAACTCTCAAAAAAATATTTACACTTAAATTTAAGATTTATGTATCTGAATTGCATATAAATTTGTCATACATTTGGATTACACCGTTTTAGTATATACAAACTAATAACCTTGATGCATATTTGTCAGCAATACATAATGAACAGGTACGATTTCTGTAACAGTACTAATTAACTAAATGTGTTTTAAATACACAATAACCAGGGGTATTTATTAATGTTTGTTTCAATATCATATATTTTAACTAATATATTTTAACTTGTTTCACAGCTAGCCATATTAAATAAAAAAAAGAAATAAATATATGTATTTAAAAAAATTAAATGCATGTATGAACATGCATAATTTTAGTTTAATTTAATTTAATAAGTTAAAACTATCCATAATGCAGTTCAAATACATAAATCACATATTTAGGCTATTTTTTCTCTCCTATGTTTCTTTTTCAGGCCCAATTCTGATGTACAGTATTAGCCACCACAGTAACAGGCCATTTGATTCAACTTTTTGTGCCCTGGTTACATGAGCTCCTGCCTCTTTGTAGCTTTATTTGATTTATTGCATCTAATCCAAGCATATTTATTCTTTCCTCATCTAACACGCTCGTTTGCTGTAAATGCATTTGGCGTCACCCAATTTAACCAACTGAACTCTAATGCCATAAGTTCTGGCCAGACACGATTAAGGCTTGTGTTGCAGCACCATGCAGCTGCTGTGAATGTTTGTTTGGGTTTTTTTCGCCATCTGTTACATCCACTTTCTTCTGAAGCATGACAGATTCAGCCCTCCTTCTTTATGGCTCAATTTGGCATCATGTGGTCTGGTCTTTTTTTAGAGATATTAGACAGCTACCAAACATCGCATCCTTCTATCAGCCTTTAGATGTTTCTTTTTCTAAACAGGTGCTGATATAACTGTCAGATCAAGAATGGATGCCGTTTAGTATCTTAAAGCTCAAGTGTGTGATTTGTGATGTTAAAATACTTTCTGTTATCTCAGTTTAATATGCAGAGACACTATAACTTGTAGTCTGATTCCAGTGAGATGGTAAATGCCAGTACCTTTTTTTTTAATCTTGTTTGTGTAAAAATACTGAGCAGCAAAACTGCATATGATATTAAGATTTGTATTCAGATAAAAAATCATGAATTTATTTATTTTATTTTTATTATTATTATTTTGATTATTTTTAAACTACAGTGGCCAACTGCTTTGTCTTATGTGAGCTAAACTTAGTAGGTAAACATTAAGGATTTTTTCTTTAATAAATATCTAAACATTATTAAAATAAATCTTTGTGATTTGAGCAAAATTGCACGAGATCCAATTTTTTCAGATAATCTTTAATTACGCTTATTACTTTTCTTACCACATTAACACATTTTGTCTTTTTGTGACTTAATTTAATAAATCTTGTATTAAGGGTTAGGTATTTTTACTCAAATAAAAATATTTCACATTTCTTAACCATCCTACCCAGCCTAAGAAAGCCACATTGGCGCAACCAGTGGCAGGCATTTGACGCTACATGAGAGCTGCTTTCTTCTATTGTTTTATGGTGTTTTATTTTCTTTTTTTGTGTTGTTGACTGTTCGTAATCACTGACATTTTTATTCTCTTATGTGTGTACAGCACTTTGACAATCACTTGTTGTTTTAAAAAAAGTGCTTTATAAATAAACTTTGACTTTGACTTTGACTTTGTTTGACTGACCAATGACAGATGAGAGTTTTTAGGGAAATTTGCTTGTACACAGTCTTTTTTATTTATTTATTCATTTTTTATTCCAATCTTAGTAAATAACTGACTTCATCTTTAAATTGTGTGGTATAATTAAATAAATCTACATTGCTTTTTTTTTTTAGAGTGCATAAATGATTAGCTAATTCTAATTTCAACAAGCACATTCACTTTTGGCATTCTTTGGCATGCACTGCTATTGTAAATCAGATTTTGTACAGATTTTGTGTTCTAATCTGATTGTGAAACTATAGATGACTTGGCTTCCACTTAGTAGATCCATTTCAGCATAATTTACCTTAATATCTGTAGCATCTTGTAGAATTTCCAATGAAATGTAACTCCCATACACTCATTGATAGGGAAATATGCAATATTTAATGTGCTTTTATCAGCACTTTGCATCAGTGCTCTCAACCCGACCTGTCAACTGCAGAGTGATTTTCATTTTTTTTTAAGTTTGCCAACTCATAACTTTAATATCTAATTATCGAACTGAGCATACTTTTATTTTGTGTCCTCTTTTGAGAGAGCAGAGGAGGAGAGCTTCACTGGTTTGCATTGAGATCTTCTGAAGCGTAGCTTGTACAGATTAGAAGATAAATCTCCGGTGGCCGCTGTAGAGTGAGGAAAACAGTTTTATGAAGTTGTCTGCTGCCTTTTGAAGCAGATGCTTTTCCTTTGATTTTTGTCGAGTTTTTTCAAGTCTTTGTTTCGGAATGATCTTTTATCTTTTCCCTTTTTTTCTACAATCACAATATCAACCTAGTTTTACTTGACTTATAAATGTAGTTGTGTAGAGCACTGATTCATAACAAGAGTCCATCTGTCCCCAGGCGATACTTTAGCAGACTTCAGGGAAAGAAGGGCTGTCAAAGATTAAAACTAGTGATGAAACGGTTCAAACTACTACTAAATAAAAATTTATAATTGTAATTAATCTTATAATAATTAAAATAATATAATATAAAATAAAATAATATAATATAATACCTTTCAAAACTTTGGGGTAAGTACGATTTTTTTAAAGAAAGTAATACTTCTATTCAGATGCATTTAATTGATCAAAAGTTACAGTAAAGACTTTTTTATGTAGCCTAAGCAATAAGGTACTCGAGGCCGTGCTGTATCGTGAATAAATCATGGCTGAAGGCATTGTTAGATACGACGCGAAGATTTATTCACGATACAGCACGGCCTCGAGTACCTTATTGCTTTTATAAAAGGGTTACCACACAATAAAAAAAATATTAAAACCAAAAATATATGTATTGAAATGTACACATACATCTGCTTATCTCTCAGCATGAGAAAATATCTTTTTTCCGTCTTTTAGTTTTAAAACAAATCGATTCGTGGCACAGCACGAGTTTGCAAGCCTCATTACAGTGTAAACTGATGGACATATGGACATAGCTACAGAATCATACCTGAAACAGAAAACGAATAAATACAGTAATATTCCCTACTCACTTCGGAAACTGTAGGCTTCCACACAGACACGCACAAATCAACATATCGCCGCATGAGAAGCGTTTATTAGATGGGGAAAGGACAGGGTCTCAAAATTAAAGATGAAAGATGCAACATAACGCCAGCAGGGGTCACTCATAATAAATAACAAATAGTTAATTCTGCCGAAATACATGAAACAGTTTTGATGTTATAGGATTATTGATTGTTTATGTTGCTAAGGGTGTTGCTCAGTGATACACAGAACCATTGGGTGAAGTGTCATAGCCGTGCTGTTTTGTGAATAAAACACAGCTGCTGACATAGGTGGAAATCCTGGGGGGGGATAGGACTCCCCTATCTGAGGGTTGTCCCCCCTAAAAATATGATTAAAAACCACGCTGTGTATTGTAAATAACAATGTTTTATACTTTAAACTTTGTAAGTAGTAAAACAACACAAACGCAAACGGGGCAAAAATGCGTTTTAAGTTTATAAACATTTTGAGTCTCCCCCTCCCTTGCCTCACAGTACTTTGGTCCAAATGCCTGCTTTCCTCTTTTACATCACCTACACACAC